CAGGAAGAATTGAAAAAGGCTTACAGGAAGCTGGCCTTGAAGTACCACCCTGATAAGAATCCAAATGAAGGAGAGAAGTTTAAACAGATTTCTCAAGCTTACAAAGTGCTCTGGGGTAGTCCCAGAGACGCGGAAGCGGGGTATAGACTGACAATCCCCTAAAGAGGGAGGAGGTGGGGGAGGGATGAACCACAGAACTTATATGCATGTATGTATGAACAGTGGACATGGACAACAATCTGGGGAAGGGGCAGGGAGGGAGGGGGAGGGGGGAATCAGTGGGGGGAAAAAGGAGAAACATCGGTAACAAAAATTAATCAATCAAAAAAAAAATTTAAAAATAAAAGTAAATTCAAGGCCTCTAATAGAAAATAAAATTGTACATATTTTCATTAAAAAAATTGAATTTTATAGTTTTACTATATAAAACACTGATGTCATTTAAAAATGAAAACTTTTAAAAATGATTTTTTTAGAGAAATATTACTTTCATTTATATCACTTCTTCCAGTCCACGCCATAGAAAATCATTTTTAATATTTTGTGCTATATCCTTTCACAAGAATATATATATCTTTTTGTCCTTATATTGTACATAATTATAGACAACTATAAAATGTATCTAGAACCTGACTTAACAACATATCCTAGAAATAAATCCACAATGAACACCAAAAAAAAAACCATATCTTTAAAAAAAATAACTAGACTGATTCACAGGTCCCACTCTAAGAGGAATTTTTTCAGCTTCCCTTTAACTGTTGACCAACCAGGCACCTGACTTGCATCTGAGACCTCAAGACAAAGTACATATTTTACAGATAAAGAGGTCAGGAGAGCCCAGTTGCTGTGGCTCAGTGGACTGAGTGTCATCCCATGGACTGAGAGGTCCCACTTTGATTCCGTCAGGGCACATGCCTCGGTTGCAGGCTCAATCCCGGTGGGAGGTGTGCAGGAGGCAGCCAACCAATGTCTCTCTCTCACATTGATGTTTCTATCTCTCTCTCTAAAAAAATCAATAAAAACATATTTTTTAAAAAAAAGGTCAGGATAGTGAAAGTTAACTACCAAAGAACACATTGAGCTAGGGCTGTCCTTCCCCAGGTCTGTAGTGCCCAGTATGGAACAAGTGATCTGACAAATAAATGTGTGGCATGCAATGCACCCAAGAGATTTTTACTTTGTTTTCCTGATTTTTACTCTCTTGAGAATCACTCTGTAAGTGTGATGAACCCGCACAGCTATTCTAGAGAAAGCTATCACCTAGCCAGTGTGGTTCGGCAGACTAAGTGTCATCCCAGGCACCAAAAGGTCACTGGTTCAATTCCCAGTAAGGGCACATGCCCAGACTGCAGGCTCGATCCCTTAGAAGGGGCCATGCAAGCGGCAGCTGATTGATGTTTCTCTCTCTCTCTCCCTCTCCCTTCCTCTCTCTCTAAAATCAATAAAAACGTATTTTTTTTAAAAAAAGAAGCAACTATTGTCTAGACGGTGTGGCTCAGTGGTTGGGCGTCGACCCATGCACCAAGAGGTCACTGGTTCAATTCCCAGTCAGGGCACATGCCCAGGTTGTGGATCCAATCCCCAGTGGGGAGCATGCAGGAGGTGGCCAATCGACGTTCTCTCTCATCGATGTTTCTCTCTCTCTCCCCCTCTCTCCTTTCCTCTCTCTCTAAAATCAATAAAGGAAAAAAAAATTTTTTTTTAAAATAAATAAAAATTTAAAAAAAGAGGCAACTATCAAAATTGTAAGGAAAAGAAAACATCAACTAGGCATGAGGAGCCCACATCTATTTTATTCTGTTACTTTCTTAGAGCCTTAGTAAGTGCTTACAAAAACCATTTTTTAATTTACTAAATATGAATTTTCAATGAATGAGTGACACAGACTCTGAGCTTAGCTATATGGAATCCTCTGGGCAACTGAGCATGAGAAATTATAAATGTGCGTGACCTCACACCCGCTTTGGCTCACCAGGCCCACCACGAGAAAGAAGTAAACTCTCAGGTTGCCTGTTTTCTGGAGCTGGGCTCCAGAATAAAAAACATGGTGCCAAACCTGAGCCCAATCTGAAGCCTGGAGGCAAAACCCAACTGACCCATGCATGAGAAAAACAAATGCTTATCGTAGTAAGCCCATTAGGGTGGTTTATAATGCAATATTATTGTAGTAATAGCTAATAAAATTTTTTCTTAATTGATTTGAGAGAGAGAGGAAGGAAGAGGGAGAGATAAAAACATCGATGAGAGAGAACATCGATTGGCCACCTCCTGCATTACTCCCACTAGGGCTTTGGCCTACAACCTGGGCATGTGCCCTGACTGGGAATCGAACCGGCAACATCTTGGTGCCTGGGTAAAGCACTTAGCCACACCGGCCAGGCATAAAAACATGTTTCAAAGGTAAGGGCACTTTGGAAAAAACTCAGAGCAATATATAAACTTAAAAGTATTTAAATAAGTCCTGGCCAGTTTGGCTCAGCGATTAGAGAATCAGTCCTCAGACCAAAGTAATGGGTTCAATTCCAGTCAAGGGCACATACCTTGGTTGCAGTTCGGTCCCCAGCCCTGGTCAGGGTCGTGCAGGAGGCAGCTGACAGATGTGTCTCTCTAACATTGATGCCCACCCCCCGGACCCCTCACTCTGTCTGAATATAAATGAAAAAATATCCTTGGGTGAGGATTAAAAAAAAAAAAAGTATTTCAATAGTCCTGGAAAGAAAATAGTACGGTAAAGTCTTCTGTTCTAAGTAGTTAAATCACCATGCTCTGATATGGGGGATCTCGGGGTAAGGCCTACAGAAAACAAAGAGAGCTATCTATATTAGAAAGGTGATTTAAAGCTACTCCCCCTCACATAGCAATCAGAGATGCCCTAACCACTGAAGTGCTCAGCCCTTCTTGAAAGTACAAGAGGTACTACTTTCTGGTGAAATGCTGTCCCTTTCCCACAGTGTTAAATTTCCAACGTATGTTAGCTGTTACCCAGTGGGGACTAAGTTCCAATCCTTCAAGCAGCGTCCTTGTACGCCACAGTTCCCTGGCAATCAGCACACAAATAACCACGAACAACATTAAAGTAGGAGAAGAAAAAAGAAAACAGTCCAAACCTAACAATGAAAAAAAAGAAATACCTTTATCCATTTATGAAGATAACAATTACAAGACACCACTCATTTAAGGACAGTTCTTCAGAACAAAACAAAAAAAGTACTACTACATTAAACATATACAAAGTTTTAAAAGGTATTCTGATTATAATATGAAAATGTGGGGAAAACTACATCTTAGAATAAAGGAAATACTGCAGTTGTTCCTTCCAGACCACAATCCTTTCTTCCCTTTAGCATATACTCACTCCACTAATAGCATAAAATACTGCTCTAAAGATGCAACTTTAACCAACTACAGAACCTATTTCTAAGACCTTCAGTAAAACATTGACATTTTAGAAAAACAGTGATGTATTAGCCTAAATAACGTAAATTTTGTCACATGCTAAGTCTGCTAATGAACTGTTTTAAATAACTCTTTTCCAATCTGGGCAGTATCAGTCACTAAGCCAAGATGACAGACATGTTTCTTAAGTCAAATAGAAAACAATATTTAAGTAGAAAATGGTGTTAACTTCATCCATTTGCCACCTATATTCTTCTGATATATAAAAATGAAATGGAAAATATTCAATTAGAAAACATTAGCTTCAATCTCCTGTCACCATTGTTCTTCTGATGTGTGCATACTTCAACACAATCATGTGAATTGCCTTATTCCATTTATTCATTCTTTTTTTCATCCTTACCTGAGGACATTTGTATCTATCCATTTTTGTTCAGATAGAGTGGGAGGGAGGGAAAAGAGAGAGAGAGAGAAACATCGATGTGAAAGGGACACATCGAGTAGCTGCCTCCTACACGACCCCAACCAGGGCTGGGAACAACAAAAGGCAACCAAGGTACGTGCCCTTAACCGGAATTTAACCCACGACTCATTGGTCCGCGGGCCAACATTCTAACCGCTGAGCCAAACCGGCCAGGGCCATTTATTCACTCTTGAAATCATGTACCCATCCAATGACTATTTTTAGAGCCATCTCATGTGTCAAACACTGCTCTAGGCCAGGGATACAACAATAATCAGAATGGACCTACATGTCACCTAAGAACTAGGGCTACACAGTCCCTGCTCCACAGAGTCTCATAGCACAATCCAAGTACCTCTCTCCCTAGTATGGTCAACAAAAATAAGTAAGACACGTTGGTAAGATAGTAATCTTAGATCTGCCTCTTCCCTAACCCCTTCCCAAGTAACCCAGGTTAGTTCCACCACAGTATGGAATCAAGCCAAACATGACTCCCTGTAAAACTATCAAAATGAGGCTACACTATATTAACCTTATTGACTGGATTAACAGTTCCTGGTTTCTAATAAAATTCTCAGACAGCTAGTATAATGCCCTTAAGGTAAATAAATTTTTCTTGCCACTTAAAAAAAAAATGTGTCCCATATTCAGATTCACAAAGCAGAATCTAGAATCTGACAGAAGCAGTTTGGGTTAACCACCCAGGAGCAATAGTTCAATTAGGTACCCCACTGTTCAAGCTGCACACCAGTAAGCAGCAAAGTTTGAAAACCACAGATACAGAAAACTTGGAGGAACTGGCTGCTTTCCAACAAAATGATAGATTAGAGGTGTGCTTCCTTCCAACAACATGAACAGTGAACTTCCTGAGCACTTCCTCACTAAGACCTGTCAAGAACCCATTTGGTATTGAACAGAAGGAGTTTATAGGCTACCTGCCAAACTTAGGGGAGAAGGCATAAACCTGAATATACAGAGGAAAAAGAATTATCTCAAACTGAATGCCAGAAAATAAAAATAATAAAGCTTTTAAAATCTTATCCCAAAATTTGTTAGAAATTGATGCTAGTAAGTCAAGTTCCCACTGCTAAATACATAAAAAAGAGGCGGAGGGAAAAATAACAACCTCCAGGCTGACTTGTGAAGGGTTTTGTTGTTTGTTTAATACATCTGAAAAGAATGCATATACAAAGAATTGAGACATGAGAAAGCATTGGTTCAACACTAACAAGTCTACAAGAATTAGGATTTGGGGAAGGTGGAGATGATTACCTAAACATTTTTTAAAAATTGGAAACTGCAACCAAAATAAGCTGATAAAATCCCTAACACTATGAAGAGTCTTCATAAGACTCTCTCCAAGATTTTTATTAAACTAGAGAGCGTCAATTGGCTGCTCTAAGGTTCCTCATGTAAAACAGAAATAAGGGGATTCCCCTGACTGGTCCCCATGTTGTTAAATGTTCTCCCCACCCCCACCCCACCCCTAGCTTCTTAATGAAGCAGGTCTCCATCCTCCTAACTTGAAGAGGATGTGAATCATTCCACAGACATCTGTCTTCTAGCACCACACCTCATGTATACCAGGTCTTCAGCTGTGTTCTAGGAACACCATATCATACACTATTAAGCTGCACATCTATGCTAAGCATATAAGACAATGACTGACAAGGAAAAAAATGTTTTTTTTTTTTAATTATATACGTAAATCCATTTGGTATATTTCAAAAGGTGCAATACTTTTCTTCATTAACCACTGAAAGAAGTTAGACATTAACTTCCAAAAAAAAAAAAGAAAAGAAATCAGCAAATGGCTAACAATTTCCTTGAAAGTCAGTCACATATATAGTGCATCCTAGAAAAGAGGAGGGGCAAGACAGGTTCCACCCACTTTCATGAGTTTCATCAAACACTGAACCTACTCAAGGGTGGAGAGAAAAGGCAACTTTCAAAAAGGAGTATGTTATTAAATGAGGCATTTACTATACTCCTTCCTAAGAGCACCAGGTGGGGAACATGTTTTCTAAACTAGATCTAGGAAGTGGAATGTGGAATCACTCCATCCTCCTCACCTAAAGGGCTGTCAAATGGTTAATGACTTTTTAAAAAATGACTAAATAAAAACAAACCCCACACACACTACCCCCCCCCAAAAAAAAAAAAAAAAAACTAGATGTCCCGGATCACCCTGCAGAGTGGAACCCGGGAGCAGCTTCAACAACCCGAATTAGTCTGTTACAGAGTCATCACAAGCATGCCTTGCTTTTAAACATAAAATAAAAACAAAAACAAAAAAAATTTTTGAGTAACAAAACAAAAACTAGTACTGATCACTTTTCTGACAATACACAATTACTCAAAATTAACTCGTACTGAGAGGGGGAAAGGGACCATACCTATGGGCCTTGTTTCACACGAGTGCATATGGGTAGGTGCAGGGCATTTGTCATTATTGCAAAAACGAATTTTAATTTTTAATCTTTAGTTTGATTTAAACATTGCTTTTAGTATGATGCCGACACCAGCTGTGCAGAAAGGGCTCTGGAGAGATGTTCATAGCAGCACACACCTGCGGCTCTTCTTCGGTTCTGGAGGCTCCAGGGCAGCCAATATTGCTTCATCAAATACATTCTTTAGGCCTTTCTGAAAAGGGGTAGAAAGAAAAAAAATGGGCAGTCTGATTTTCAGTATAATAAAGTTGAAGCTCAAATTAAAAACATTCAAACCCCCCAAAATCGGCAAAGAACAAAACATTCAAAACAATCCTGAATCTCCACACAATCATCTCACTTCACCAAGTTTTGTCCATCCAGGCAGGGCCCTGGAAGGATCCAGCAATTCAGGAGGAGAGGAGCAGATATTCATGAGTGAAACAGTGGTCCTTTGAGAAAGCTTTCTGCAGACCAATATATGTCACAAGAAGCAAACAAGCACATGTGTCATTTGCTCATTCAATATGAGTTTTGTAATGTGCTGCTGAAACATTTTACATAAAAACAAGTGAAGCAGCTCTGCATTCAAATGAAACAGCTGGATATGGAACAGGACTGGAAGGATGAGCACAGGCAGTGTGGCATCCTTATTACATGAAGGCGCAGGCAAAGATGGAGAGAGCAATTACAGTGGCTGCAAAGATATTCACTCTTAACTCCCTTTATCCCACCAATTAGACAGAGCCAAGGGGATTCAAGGAAGCAAAAATGTGGGTACCTGATACACATGTAAAACTAGAGCCAGTCAGTACAACAGGAATAAAGCTTCATCAGGCATTTATACAAACAATTGTAAATTTTTTAATTTCAAAATTTGAAGGTAACCACAATTGTATGTTTCCCTCACAACGATAAAATCAGAAGCAGGAAAATATAAAGGTGGCAGCTTTACATCTCAACATTAGCAAACCTTAAGTCAACTGTTAAAATGGATGCTATTCTTAAAAGATAATGTAACAAATAATCTCATAAAGCAGTAGCAGATACATCAATATCTTTCCCACCCCAGACTGACAAATACTCCACTACAGCACAGACAGCCAAAGCAATAGCAACACAAAGTTTCACTGCACAAAGAAAAACCAGAAAGAAAGAAAAAAAGGAAAAAAAAACCCTTCCCCATTACACTCTACTAGACAAGTCACCCTTTTTCCATGAAGTTTGTCATGCAATTACAATTAACAATTGATCGTAAGAGTAAAATGATGTTTGCGTTATTTTCTCCATCTAGAACTAAGATCTAGAAGTGTTAAAACTCTTATTTTCTCCAAGAGGACATTCTTAATGCCAGACCAAGTTCCCTTTTTGCAATAGTAATCCAAACCAAAAAGCTCTGAGCATCAGGCAACTCAAGCAGCAGAAAGTAAACAAGTCCAACTTGACTACTGATCACAAAAAATATTCTGTAAGATATTGCATTCTTGATCAAAAACTAATACAGAGGTTGCTCTAAGGTGGTGAGTAAAAAGACGCAGAGGCTTTCAAACAGGATGGTTTTATTCCTTTGTTTTTAAATGATCTTTCTACAGTAGTGGGACAGGAAGCAGCAGCAAAGAGGGGAAGGAGAAAACAGTTTAGAATATACAGCACTTCCTTTTGGGTTGAGTTTCCGGAGGCTCGAGGGCAGCTAGGATAGCCTCATCAAACACATTCTTCAGACCTCTCTATAAGACAGAGGGGAGGAGAGAGAATAGCAGCCAGGTTAGAGGATTAGAAAGACTAGCAGATACAATAGCAGTTTGGATTAAATGGGCTGAATTCACAGAAGCAATGTGCCTTAAGAAAAATAACTGCCAGTGTAGAATTTAAGCTCATTAATGGGAAAGCACATAAATGAACAGAAACTTTTTACTTAAAAAAGGTTAACTGAGCAAGAAAGCAACTTTTATGAAAATGTCAGGAGAGAAAAATGGATATCTAAACACAAGAATAGATGCATTGTATAATTGAGCCTTGTAAATCGCCCAGTATTTCTAATGATAAGAATGGAACACACATTTGAAATCTATTAAATTTCAGGATTCTGTGAATTCAGTCCCTGAATAACTGAAAGACACAAATAGCAGACTAACAGGCATGCTACATGTTTCTAGATTCAATGACATAACTGGATGGGATTAATCGGGATTTCAGAGTTAATCAGTTTTCCAGAACAAAAAGGTTCAGACATTTAGAAAGAGTGTTAACTGTTCAACAGTACCAACTGGGAAAAGTTTAAAGAACAGACTCTAGAAACAGCATACACATACTTCAGTTATTCAGTAATGTTATCAGAGCAAGTAACCACCACCCAAGTTATAGGAAAATAAAGAATGGGGTCCTAGAATGAGTTTTAGCAAGCAGTCCAATGCTTTAAGGTGTCTGCATGGGTATCAGAGCATAAAAGCGTGGAGTGAAAACAAAGAATATTCTCAGATCTACAGGGATTAAAATGCATAAATACACTTACACCTCAGGCAGAACTCCAACGTGACAGTGTGACTCAGTAGTACTGGTACCTTAGGCCCAGGTCTACAGACTCACCTAAACTCACCTAAATCTGAAGTCACAGGTTTACCACCCTAAGAAGTTTCACATGTTCTTTAGGTCAGTTTGATCCCAAATACAAATTTCACAAAAATCCCAGAATACAGCTCCAATAACAAGTGCCAGCCCCAGACTACCCCAGATGTTCCCACCCCAACCCTATCCTTACCATGGCCCCACCATGGCATCCCAGAGGACTGGCACCTACACATTCTATTAGGTACAAAATAAATCAGAAAAACAGTAAGTTCTTAAAAAGAAGCAAAAAGTTTAAAAAGTTTTCTTCTTTCCCTATCTTTTAGAAAGTAGAAATGATAAAAATTAAACTTCCTCTGAAATTCTTTCTACACATCTAGGCTAAGCAAATTCTGGTAGTCAAATATGAAAGAATGGGAAGAGAAATACATTTTATAAGGAAAAAAATGGAAGACAGTTATTAGAAACTAGGGCATCTCTAATAAGAAGCAAATCCTTTCTTGCTCACTGACAAAGACCAACTGATCCCCTACAAAACTAATCTTTGCTTTGACCCACACTATCTGATTACATAGAGTTCATTTCTAGAGGAACCAACAAACAGAATTTGAAGTCCTAAAAGTTATAGCTCCCAAACATAACCACGGACCCTATTTTTTATCTTCCCCTCTTTTGACTTCTCCAACTTCAAAATCTAGTAAGAAAAATATAGTTGCTAAGACCTTTTCAAATTCTTATTCCCTGAAAAGTGACTTACTCTATAAACCTGTTCATACTATATTTTTTAAATGTTTTTATTGATTTTTTAGAGAGAAAGGAAGGGAGAGAGAGAAAGAAACATCAATGTGAGAGAGAAACATCAATTAGCCACCTCCTGCACGACCCCTACTAAGGATCGAGCCCACAACCCGGGTATATGCCCTGACTGGGAATCTAACCAGGACCTCTCAGTCCATGGGACGACACTCAACCCACTGACCCACACCAGCCCGACAAACCTGTTCATACTATTAATATATATATATATATATATATATGGAAGCATCCAATTCTCTAAAATAAGCTTCACCAATGACCTAAAATTGGGTCCACGTGGCCCACGTGCCTCCATTTCCCCCAAAGCAACCCATACTTAGAGAAAAACAGCATACAAAAGATGCATATAGTTAGTTATAATTTGACACACATGTTCCACACATATCCTTCCCCAACACACACACACACTTTTCTGATGGTATCAAAACATAGAGGCATCAGGCATTTCTTTAAAATCTCAGTAAGTGCTATGTGTGAGAAGATATAAAATTTTCTTTAGTTTCAAATACCTGCTTTTACAATAGAACTGAATTGCCAAGGAAAACTGGGTTTGGGAGAATATCAGACCTTGAAATTATCCTGTGGAATATCCAGATAAGCATGAAAATTTTATCTTTAAATATCCAACCTAGCATTAAACTGAAGATTATTAAATTATGTCTAGACCCCCACATATTAAATACCTAATATACAATTATATATGCCATTTACCTTAGTATACATACAATGAAGATTAATGCAACTGCCCTGGCCAGTCTGGCTTAGCGGTTAGAGCAACAGCCCTCGGACCAAAGGGTCACAGGTTTGATTCCCGGTCAAGGGCACATACCTAGGTTGCAAGTTCGAACCCCAGCCCCAGCTGGAGTCATGCGGGAGGCAACCAGTCTCTCTCACATCAATGTTTCTCTCTCTCTCTCTCCCCCTCCCTCCCTCCCACTCTATCTAAAATTAAATGAAAAAATATCCGGAGGGGAGGGGGAGGGGGAGGGGAGGGGAGGGGAGGGGGGAGGGGAGGGGGGAGGGGGGAGGGGGAGGGGAAGGAGATAGATAATTAGATAGATAGGTAGATGTAACAAAAAAAAATCTCTTCCCTTTAACCCTGTCCTAATCTACTTAGGCATGTTTGCTCATTGTTTAAAAGTCAAAGCACCATTAACTAGTCAAATAAAACAGTTATGTGCAAATTATTTCTATAATTCTTCCCTTTGCCCCTAGAGGGAGAAATCAAAAGGGGGAATTGGTCGGCAATAACCATGAAGGTCAAGAAGATGAAAACACACAAGTCAGTTACAACTCTCAGTCTAAATACTCTAACATTGTTCCCTGGCCTCAGAATCTGACATTTTCCATCAAGCTATGAGAAGAGTTCCAATTAAATCATTCAGAGACAGAGGAAAGAGGGCCACATGAGGAAGAAATGCCTCCCAAAACTGAACAATAGAGACACTATATAAGCATGTTTAAGAAATAGCCATGGCCACTTTCTCTGACATGACAGTCTCTATTATGACTAATTCCCTATCCCAGAAATAGTATAGCATCAACTGTCAGAATTGACAAGATCAGTTCTATTTAGATGAAAATGTAAGTCAGGGAGTGGGGAGGGAAGCACAGGAGGGGTATTATTGTAAATTTGTGTTCATCTGAACCTTTCCAGTAATTTTTTTAAACACAATCCCTGACCACTACAAATGATTCAGTACCACATGGAAGCTCACCAGCACGAGAGCTTTACTTAGAGACTAATAACTTCTCCATAAATACTAACCTCTATATTTATGTAAAAGAATATACACTATAACTCTGATCATAGTCTTCCTGGGCAGATTTCCTGAGCGCTGCAGACCACTGTTAGAAACAACCCCTGAATCCTAATGCTCTAAGAAACTATTTGGCTGTAATTAAAATAGAGTTCCGCATAGTTCTCACCTGTGTAAGTGCAGAACACTCCACATACTTGACAGCCTTCAGGTCACGTGCCAGCTTTTCAGCAGTTTCTGGAGTGATAGGTTTCTGTTTGTTCTTGGCAAGTTTCTCAATAGTAGAGGGGTCATCTCTGAGATCAATTTGGGTTCCAACAAGCAAGAAAGGAGTCTTTGGACAGTGGTGAGTTATCTCAGGCACCCACTAGAGAAAAGGTATTTTAAAAGATACACCTTCGTTAACCCACAAAGCTTCTAAAACTATTTACAAGTCAACAGAAGGTCTGTAACAACATTATGCAGGACCAACTCACCTTTTCTTTCACATTTTCAAATGAGGATGGAGAGACCACTGAAAAACAGACTAGAAATACATCTGTTTGTGGATAACTCAGCGGTCGTAATCTGTCATAATCCTCTTGCCCTAGAGAGGGAAAAAAAATTGGAGAAATCATCTACTCAATTTTGATGTCCTCATAGTATTAAAATCACAAGTCAGTCAGCAAATTAAGTATGCAGCTAACAGCACAGTGATATATTAACAAGAAAGCAATTTATCTAATAAAATGTATGACTTTACAATACAGTATTTGAGAACATTCTCACTGGGCTAATTCTCTTTAATATTTCAAGCCATTAGAATTGTGATGAATATTATTTGCTTTATTACCAGTTTACAGTTTTCAATCTTTATGTCCATTAGCAATCCAACAATAATGTAATACACACAGTAAACTGTTGCTAAAGAAATGGTTAAAAATTAATCCTACTCAGATCTGGTTAAAAAATGATCACACTGGGCCCTGGCCGGTTTGGCTCAGCAGTTAAGAGTGTCAGCCCGCAGACCAGAGAGACCCAGGTTCGGTTCCCACTAAGGGCACATACCTCGGTTGCAGTTTGTCCCCAGCCCTGGTTGGGGTCATGTGGGTAGCAACCACTCAATGTGTCTCTCTCACATCGTTGTTCCCCTCTCTCTCTTCCTCCCTCTCAATCTGAAGATAAATGCAAAAGTGTCCTTGGGGTAAGGATAAAAAAAAAGATCACAATGAAACCATTTACGGAGCCCTGGCCAGTATGGCTCAATTGGTTGGGCATCGTCCCATGCACAAACCAAAAGGTTGCTGGTTTAATTTCCAGTCAGGGCGAATGCCCAGGTTGTGGACTCGATCCCTGGTAGGAGGTGTGCAGAAGGCAGCCAATCAATGTTCTGCTCTCACAATGTTTCTCTGTCCCTCCCTCCCTCTCTAAAAATCAATAAAACATCTTTTCTAAAAAAGAGAAAAAGAAAGACACCATCTAAGGAAACAAAAATCTCAGTGAAAACCAGCTTACAAAATTCATTGCCCATTCATGACTAGCACATGTTTAGTTAACATGTGCATATAAGACCAGTATCAGAAACCGAGAATCCCTAGAATAAAACTATTTGGCAAGACTCAATGAATGCCAAATCAATGGGGAGAAATCCTGGTGAAAAGTATCTGTATAGTCTAGCCCTGGCCGATTTGGCTCAGCGGTTAGAGCGTCGGCCTGCGGTACAGAGAGACCCGGGTTCGGTTCCCGCTAAGGGCATGTACCTCAGTTGCAGTTTGTCCCCGGCCCTGGTTGGTCATGCGGGTGGCAGCCACTCGATGTGTCCCTTCACATCGATGTTTCTCTCTCTCTCTCTCCCTCCCGCTCTATCTGAACAAACAAAAAAAAAAAATGGAAAAATGTCCTCGGGTGAGGATAAAAAAAAAAAAAATTCTTAAAAAAAAAAAAAAAAGTATCTGTATAGTCTAAAACATTATTTTATAAACCACAGGGGAAAGATGTAACTACATTGTGAGGCAATTAGACATTATCTTAACTGAATGAATTATTATGTGCTTCCAGATTTATATCATAAAGTCACATTACTAATATAGTATTTCAAACAAATAGCATAACCTGAATCTAATGAGGAAACACAGACCAAACTCAAAATGAGGAACATTTTATTAATTTTTTAATTTTTTTTCCCTTTATTGATTTTAGAGAGAGAGAAAAAGTGAGAGGGAGAGAGAGGGAGAAACATCGATGAGAGAAAACATCGACTGGCCGTCTCCTGCATGCTCCCCACTGGGGATTTGGCCCACAACCCAGGCATGTGTCCTGACCGGGAATCGAACCAGCAACCTCTTGGTGCATGGGTCAACACTCAACCACTGAGCCACACCAACCGGGCAAAATGAGGAACATTTTATAAGGGGAGGAGGAAGAGAGAATTGGACTGTTATATAAAAATAATGTCATTAAAAAAGTCATGACTTCCGGTCAAGATGGCGGCATAGGTAAACACGGTATCACGTCCTCCCACAACCACATTAAAGTTACAACTAAACTACTGAACACTCATCATTCAAAACCGCCTGAAATAGCACTGAATGGAAGTCCTACAACTGTAGAATTAAAGAAGCAGCCACATCGAGACTGGTAGGAGGGGTGGAGGCACGACGGACTGGTCCCAAACCCACATGTGGTGGATAAAAAGGAGGATTCCTCGGCTGGGAAGGTCCTCCCTGAGGACTGAGGGGTCCCCGTCCCACACCAGGCGCCCCACTCAGGGTTCCAGTGCCAGGAAGAGAAGTCCTCATAACTTCTGGCTGGAAAAACCAGTGGGAGCTGAGGCTCAGGGAAGCCTAGATGGCTAGAGCCCCAGACAGCTCCTCTTAAAGGGCCCGCACACGGAATTATTGGACTCACTCCCTCTAAGCTTGGAGGGGAGGCAGCTTGAGGGGAGCCAGAGACATACAGGGAAGAACTGAGCTGTTTGGCATTGGAGCGAGGGCTGGAGAGGGGGCTTTCTCCGGGACAAACGTGCTGTCAGAGGCCTTTATTCCTTTGGTGAGCCCTTCCCTGGGGCAGCAGACAGCTGCCATATCTGGGACTCCAGCAACCTGGCTCACACTGGTTGGCCTGCCCTGGTGATTCCATGAGGCCCCGCCCCACCCAACTTTCAGGCCCACCCAAGCTGTTGCCAGTTGCTTAACCATAGGATTGGCCTGTCTTGGATCCTGTCAGGTGTTCCTAAATTCTTTCAAACAAGCAGCATCTAGTCTCAGATAGCCCCATACCTCTCGTTAAGTAATACATAGAAACAAACACAGGGAGGCGGCCAAAATGAGGAGACAAAGAAATAGGTCCCAAATGAAGAACAGAACAAAACCCCAGGAAAAGAACTAGGCGAAATGGAAATAAGCGACCTAACAGATACTGAGTTCAAAATACTGCTTATAAGGATGCTCAATGAACTTAGTGAGAACCTCAGCGAACTTACTGAGGGCCTCAAGAGCAGAAAAGAGGACCAGTCAGAAATGAAGGAGGCACTAACTAAAATAAAGAATAACTTACAAAGATTCAATAGTAGAGTACATAAATCCAAGAAGCAAATCATTGATTTGGAATATAAGGAAGCAAAAAACGCCCAATCCGAACAGCAAAAAGAAAAAGGAATCCAAAAAAATGAGGATAGTGTAAGGAGCCTCTGGGACAACTTCAAGCGTGCCAACATTCGCATCTTGGGGGTGCCGGAAGGAGAAGAGAGAGAACAAGAAATCGAAAGCCTGTTTGAAACAATAATGGCAGAAAACTTTCCTAATTTGGTGAAGGAAAGAGACAAGTCCAGGAAGCACAGAGAGTCCCAAACAAGATGAACCCCAAGAGGCCCACACCAAGACACATCATCATCAAAATGAAAAAGGTTCAAGACAAAGAGAGAATCTTAAAAGCAGCAAGAGAAAAGCAGTTAGTTACCTACAAGGGAATTCCCATAAGGCTGTCAGCTGATTTCTCAAAAGAAACTTTGCAGGCCAGAAGGGAGTGGCAAGAAATATTCAGAGTGATGAAAAGCAAGAACCTACAACAAAGATTACTCTATCCTGCAAAGCTGTCATTTAGAATCGATGGCCATATAAAGACTTTCCCAGACAAGAAAAAGTTAAAGGAGTTCATCACCACCAAACCGTTTTTATATGAAATGTTGAAGGGTCTTTTTGAAGAAAAAGATAAAATATATGAACAAACAAAATGGCAATAAATACATATCTACCGACAACGGAATCTACAAATAAAATGAACAGGCGGAACAGAAACATTTTCATAGATACAGAGAACATTTTGTTGGTTGCCAGATGGGAGGGAGGTTGGGGGAATAGGTGAAAAAGATGAAGAGATTAAGAAGTATAGATTGGTTGCTAGAATGACAAACCTCAAAGGAAAGGGGGTTGAGGGGTAGGAAGAAATAAACCAAAAACTTATATGTAACCAATGGACACAGACAACAGTGTGGGAAAAGGCGGGCGGGGGGGGGGGGGGGCCGGGAGTGGGAAGGAAGGGGTCAATGGGAGAAAAATGAGGAACATCTGTAATACATTCAACAATAAAGATTAAAAAATTTAAAGCAAGAAAAAAAATGTCACGAAAGACAAAGAAAGGCTGAAGAACTGATCCAATTAAAAGAGACTAAAGAAACATAAGCCCTGGCTAGTTTTGCTCAGTGGTCAGAGCTTTGGTCCAAGACCAAAGGGTCCTGGGTTAGATTTCCCAGTCAAGGGCACTATTCTGAGTTGCAGGTTCAATCCCCAGCCAGGTCAGTGTCATGCGGGAAGCAACCAATCGATGTTTCTCTCTCTTCCTCCCTCCCTTCCACTTTATCTAAAGAGGATTAACAAACAAAAAGAGAGAGAGAGAGGCATGGCAACTAATGCAATACATAGTCCTGTACTAAAAGCAGAAAAAACTGAACTTGGATCAATGGACAAAACTGGAATATAAACGTTAAAATAATGTATCAATGTTAAATTTCCTACCTCCAGTCACATAAGAATGTTCTCGGGAAATTCGTACTTATTCAAAACTATACAACAATGATGTTTGAAATGCCCTGACCACTTTGGCTCAGCGGTTAGACTGTCGGCCTGCGGTCCAGAGAGACCCTGGTTCGGTTCCCGCTAAGGGCACGTATCACCCCGGTCCTGGTTGGGTTATGCAGGAGGCAGCCACTCGATGTATACCTTTCACGTTGATGTTTTCTCTCTCTCTCTCTTCCTCCCACTCTATCTGTACAGAAAATGGAAAAATGTCCTCAGGTGAGGGGAAAAAAAAAGAAAAAAGAAACTGAATCTCAAATAGTTCAGAGAAAATTAATATGCATATATGTTTAAATAGAATAATAAAGCAAATAGGGCAAAATGTTAACAATTGATGAATTTGGTTAAAGGGTATATGGGAGGCTCCTGGAACTATTCTTGTAACTGTTCTGTAGGCTTGATATTATTTTCAGATAAAATGTTTTGTTTTTTTAATCCTCACCCAAGGACATTTTTCCTTTTTTTTGTTCAGATAGAGTGGGAGGGAGAAAGAGAGAGAGAGAGAGAAACATTGACGTGAAAGGTGCACATCGAG